TCCTTCTTGAGTTGAGTGTTTTCAGTGTTTAGAATGCTTATCTTTTCTTCATAATCTTTCTTTAACCACTCCTTCTCATCTTCTGTTGTCACCTTCAAAGCCCGAACCTGTCCATCTTCCTCTTTAGCTATCTTGATCATATCTTCTACTGTCCTTTCCCTCTCCTCAACTGTCTTTTTCAGGACATTATTCTCTGCTTTAACCTTCTTCAGTTGCCTCACAGTCTTTTTGGAGCTCTTTTCCAGCTTTTTGTTGTTTTCCTGGAGATTCATGAAACTCTGTACCAAGTATCTGGCATCGTTCTCCACCACCGTTTCCTCAATCTTCTCCAGTAGTGCTCTAACCTGGATGTCTCCGACCCTGTTTAAGTTATCAAAAACATGATATCTGTTTGCACATTTGTCCACAAGCTGCTGCAGAGCTGGCCATCTTTCAATGTGCTCTTCAATGGGAGTGACTCCCAGTTTGTCTCCCCAGGTGAACAACACAATACTTCGCATCCACACCCAGAGACCGAACAAGCTTAAGTGTTCCTCCGCTCTAATTCTGTCAGTTTCAGTGAAGGTCTCATCGGCACGTACAACCACCAGGACAGCATGAGGAGTAGGAGCCCACGGGGATGCACTGCTAGCAATTAGATCCTGTACTTCCCTTGGAGTGTCCTCGGAACAGTATCGTCCATGCCATCCTGGAGTGTCCACAACAGTTATTTGCAGTTTGCCAGCACCACCCTCCCTCTCAGTGACCTGTGATGTTGACTGTCCCACAACAAAGACTTCACCACCAAGAAGATTGTTTCCAGCTGAGCTTTTCCCAGCCTGCTTCGGTCCCACTACCAGAATTCGAAGCGCTGAAATTGGGGGAAACTCTCCTGTATTGCAGAAATGCAAGATTTAGGTAATGATGTTAGCTTTGCAAATGTATATTTCCATTTTGCAGTTGTTTCAGGTAAATGAGAATGATGAATTTTAGATGTTTCCACAATGCTGGTTTGAATGAGAAATTTCCTTCATTAGAGATTTTACTACTGTTAGTACTTGGTAGAACCATAATAGCTGATTTTCAGCAGCTTCAGGTATTCAAAGAGAACCTTTGAATCAGACTACATAAGTAATAACATCACAGTTTGTGGTGGATGGATGATTAGTCTGTTGAATGCAAATGTTGATATGTGTAAATAAATATCACTGAATCTCTGAGTGCTAATGATTGTATTTTTTTTTCCCTTTCCACTAATGCCGTTATGCCTCACAATTGGTAAATATGGCAGTTATGGGCCTGGGAGGGGGTATAATTTAAATCATTTTGATTTAAATTATACCCCCTCCCAGGCCTTTTTTTCTACTTTTTTTTTTATTTTCACATTTTGTTTTGGTTCAATTATTATTATGTCTTGAAAAAACAAATATGATAGGTGCATGAAGTGACGCTTACCCAGTAGAAATGTGAGGCTTCTTTTAACCATATGCACATTCATTCGCCTTAAAGTCGCCCTCTCCTCCACCTTTTTCCTTTGGCTCTCTGTTATCCTGGACAGTTTGTCATTTCTAGTCACATAACCAACTCCTCCTGCTTTTATATTTTCTTCAACCACTGCATCAATCTTCTCCAAAAGTTCTTTAACCTGAGTGGGATCATCTTCTCCCCAAGTGCTTGTATCTAAAAGGTGGTATCTATACATGCATTTGTCCAAAAGGCTTTTCAGAAACTTGTATTTTGCAATGTAACTCTCCACAGACATCCCTCTCAGCTGCTCATATCTCGTGAATATTACTATCGTGTTCCTCCACAGGGTGTCATTTAACTGCTCCAGAGGTCCCTCTACTGTCCATTCCCGACCTCTGTGCGAGCTGATCGGTATAACCATGAGGAAAGCATGAGGTCCCGGTGGGCACATGGCCACGCAGGCTGCTGTGTTCATATTTACCAGGCTGGGGTCTTGGACAGAATAGTGAATCCATCTTTCAGGGGTACTGACCACAACCACTTTAAGTCCTTCATCAAGAATAGTTTGTCTCTTAACACACATCTTCACATCTCTGCTGGTGTCAAACATCTGTCTGCTGAGGATAGTGTTTCCTGTCAAACTCTTCTCCAGCCAGTCGTGTCCCAAGAGCACAATCCTGAGCTCCTGGAGAATGTGTTTGTTCTCTGCCAGCAGAGAGGACAACATGTCACTGAATTACCACAACTCTGGCATGCAAGCAGCTGATGTGAGACAAAGCCCTCCCACTGGTTTCACAACTTTCCTCTGAACTATGCAAAATGCTGAAATTCTCTTAACTGCAATGAATTATGTACAGAATAAGAAAATAGAACAAATTGGATTTAATATACTAAAATCAATCAGCCTTGCAAATGTTGTATGGATACATTTAAGACATATAAAAGTATAAGTCGGGAACATACCTTTATGGTGTCTGTGAGCCATTAAAACTTTATCAGTCACTTTAAAGATGATTCACTACAGTTAAAAACCCTGTTTTCCCAAAAACAAAGCGAAGTGGAAAAATATCGTCCAGCCCAGTGTCAGCCTGAGCTTTAATGCTTGACTCAGCTCTCTGTCTGATGAAAGGTCAAAGTCCAGCCCGTACCACTCTGCTAGTGGAAGATATCATCTAATTAGCTCACACAGGTAACATTTCTGTAACAGTATAATTACATCAAGGAGCCAAGGAAGCCAAGGCCTAAGTTCAGTGAGTGTATTTGAGGATCTTTTCTGTGTTCTTACATAGTAGTTAAACATGCTGTTAGCCCTCCAAAAAAGGTCCAAACTACTGAGGGAGGAACTCTTTTAAGACATCTGTGTATGCAGAACCCCAACGTCCTGTATACATAATATATTGCATACAAAAGCCAATATGTGTGCAATTCCAGTAATCTAAAGTTTACTGAAGTATATTTTAGCATTTGATTGATTGCTGTGAGATAATCATTTCCGTAATTTAGCAAAATCAATACATTAAATAGATCGTTTAATTGTAATCTTGGTAAAGGGCAGTATTGTAGTGTCTCCTTGTATGTTTTCGGGTCAGTTCATTTTCATTGAGAAATCTGAAATCTAAAACTGTTAAAATGCATTAAACACCCTTGCTTCCTGATTAACACCAGATAAACCTAGTTTTCTTACATGTGCATTACTGATGATTGAGTGGATCAGCTCTTCTGACACAGCCGAACCCTGATATTCACATTAGATTAACAATGCTGTTAGGGTGAATCATTTTGGGGCCCTAGTTAAGATTAAGATTTTGTTCTAAACTAAGAAACGTGAATTTTGTCATCTACTTACATCTTATGCTCTTTACTGCTTTCCATTTATGTATGCTGTATATTGCACTAAGTAGATTAGACAACTTCACTTTTTCCCTCTCCCTCACCTTCTGAGATCTTATGCCTTAGCCAATCCTCTCTCTCTCTGTCTGGCCTACCTGATCACTAGAAGACCGCTAAGGCCAAATGTTAGCTTAAAAAGTTGTCTAGCAACCACGTCAGTAGCAGCTTGAAACTTAATGCAGCATTGTTTGATAAAAGTAAAAGCCAAAATGTTCATTTTATCTAGTTTGGCTTACTGAGATGTTTTATTGGTATGTGACGTGTCTGAGGCTGAGAGACCACGGAGCCCGAAAAACATGATTATTAGGCTGCAAAAATATTTTAACATAATAATAATAATAATAATAATAATAATAAATTGGATTTATATAGCGCTTTTCAAGGCACCCAAAGCGCTTTACAATGCCACTATTCATTCACTCTCACATTCACACACTGGTGGAGGCAGCTACAGTTGTAGCCACAGCACACAATATAAGCTACTAAACAACAGTTAGCTATTGTAGTTCATGAGATTAGTGTCCAGAAAATCCATAGTTGACATGTGGACCCTCAATATACTTTTGGTTTTACTCTCAAGTTTTTGATAAAAATCAATGCTTCATATTTTGTTTTTCGGTAAACCTGAAAAACCCACGTGTTATCATAGTTTTGGATTTTTTATTTGTTTTTATTGTTTATGTTTTAAATATTTAATTTAAAGTGCACAACAACTTGATTATACAACCACCCAATGCAAGGTTTATGCAACAGCTGATTAGATTTTTGATATAAGTGTACAATGTAACAATGTACAGGTAACAATGTAGCTAAAATAGCTTTCACTTGAATAGCATTGTACTTCCTACCCCTCTACTGTAAACAGCAACACAAATTTACATCGTAATGAATGTGATGATTAGAGTCAGACACAACGACACCTCAAGTTCAAATAATAAAACAGAAAGGATTAAAGAATTAAAGATGAAAAATAAATGAAGGCTCATCTATCAGTCCACTGGCCTATCTAGTTCAGGGTTGCGAGTGACTGGATTCCATGCTGTATAATAGATGATTGATCATTATTCAATAATAACATAATTAATTTGTAAATGTGCAGAGAATTATGGATGCAAGTTTTTAAAATTTTGCAAAAGAAGATATGTAAGCAACAAGAGATGATCTTTTAGCATGATTATAGTCTATAAGAGCATGTCAATGCTATTGCTCTGGGATGAGCCATAGGCTTTGCTGACTGAAACATGGAGGAAATATTAACCACAGACGCTGTTTTATATATCTATTACCATTTATCTACAAAGTGCATAAATTAAAAAAGAAGTAAAAGGTAGAATATAAAAACTAAAAATACAAAACTCGATGTCACATTTCCTGAGAAAACAGAACATGGAACATTATCAATTGATCTTTGTCAAAAACAGTAAAACATAGTGTGGCCTGTCCCTATAAGTCATCTACAACAGAATGGCTCACATAGTAAATTCTTTACTCTAAGGAAAATGCTGCATTTTACGCTTGTTTTTTTAAGTAAACTAAACTTGATGTAAGTTAGTTTCTTGTAAGATTTAAGTAAAGTCAGGATTCTGTTTTGTATTTTGGTGAGTTTGAATCCATATATGAGAGGGTTCATAAAAGGTGGAATGATGAGAATTTCAACTGTAATGAAATTTTTGAGACTTTCAGAAAAACCTGTGTACTCAAATTGCACATATATCGACTGAAAACCAATCACAACTATAAATGTGATCAAAGAGGTCAGGTGGGGCAGGCAGGTCTGCATAAACTTTTCTCTGTCCTCTCTAGACCTCGCACATGTTTTAATGAGATGTGTGTAAGTCCACATTATAAAAAAGCCATGAGACACATAAATGATAACTGTTGCATATGCTGCGATGTGGTTTGTAAAGGTTTCAGCTTCAGGACAAGCAAGTTTAACAATTAACCAGTTTACACATAAGACTCTCCGAATGTTTATACCACATAACTTCAGTCTTGATGTTAGCAGGACATTAATGGCAAAAATACATGAAGGTGTCAGCCAGGAGAAACACACCAGCTGAGAGAGCCTCCTCTTAGTCATGAAAGAGTGGTAGTGCAGAGGTCGACATATAGCCATATACCTGTCAAAGGCCATAACAGCTAAAATAGACAAATCACAGCAGACAAATGAATATATGATAAAAGCTTGTAAAAGGCACCCTTCATAGGAGATTGTTTGAGAAGACCTTAGTAAATCTGAAAGGAATTTTGGGTAGAAACCTGTGGTCCCATAAAGTGCATTAATGCAGAAGCTACTCAGGAAAATGTACATAGGTTCGTGCAGATTTTCATCCAAGAAAATAAGCAGCACAAGAGAGATATTGAAAAATAAAATCATGCAGTAATACAGTAAAGTGAATGCGAAGAGAGGCACTCTGAAATTCATCGTCTCATTAAATCCTGACAGAATGAAACTTCTTACATTAGACACATTATCCATGATCAGAGAAACATCTACCTTCTTAGTGTAACAACATGTGAGTGTACAGAGCAAAGAGCTGCTGTATCTACACCCCTAACAATATCTGCTCTTCCTCTACGCCTCCTGTTAATTACTGCCTTTGGCTCAACAACAAAAAACACACACCTGGGAATTCAACCTCTGTTGGTTGGGGGGGGGATACGTGACTGGCTATTAGTGGAAGTTTTCCTTCTCTTTGCTGTTTATATTTGTCCATGTAACTGGATTCTCTTTTGCCAGAAGCCGAAAATGTCCACAAATGACGAAAACGTGAGACAGTCGTGAACCTTTCAAGGAGTGCCCAGTTGACCAAAATTACCCCGAGGATGCAGCGAAGACCGCAAAAGACCCAAGAACAACATCCAAAGAACTGCAGGCCTCACTTGCTTCAGTTAATGTCAGTAAGAAAGAGTTTGGCCAAAAATGTGTTCCAAGATGAAAACCACTGCTGAGCAAAAGGAAAATGAAGGCTTGTCTCAGTTTTGCCAGAAAACATCATGATGATCCCCAAGACTTTTAGAAAAATAACTCTGTGGACTGATGGAACAGAAGCTGAACTTTTTGGAGTGTGCATGTCTGATAACATTCAGTGTAAACGTCACACAGCACTTCAGAAAGACCATCACCAAAATATGGTGGTGGTGGTAGTGTGATGGTCTGGGGCTGTTTTGCTGCCTCAGGACCTAAATGAAAGTAAACTGAACAATAAATTCTGACGTCTACCATAATATTCTGAAGGAGAATATCTGGCCATCTGTTTGTGACCTCAAACGGAACACAGTTGGGTTCTGCAGCAAGACAATAATCCAAAACACACCAGCAAGTTTACCTCCGAATGGCTTAAGATAAACTAAATGAAGAAATTCGAGTGACCTACTTTAAGTCCTGACCTGAATCTGACTGAGATGCTTGACGCATCAATAAATGAGTTGATCTGAGAGGACCTACAAAGTTATTTAAAGGGTTTATCCTTAAAAGTGACAGGTTAAATAATAAAAACAGTCGTATTTGTAATATTGAGGTAGGTAATTGATTAGTGTGATTAGTGCATGCAAATATAGACATGTGTAGTGCAGAGTGCTAATGATTGCAAATTATTTCCTTTACACTAATTTCATTATGATTCTCTTGTCAGCTGGTGACAATGGCAGTTATGGTCCTTGGGGGTGTTCTAATTTTAATCCTTCTTATTTTTTCCTTTTTTCCCACATTTGGAATGATTTTCATATTTTGTTTTGGTCTGTCCTGTGGGTGGAGGAAAGTTCAATTATAATCTCTAGGGGGTTAAAAGAAAATGGTAGGTACATTCAATGATTCTTACCCAGTAGAAATGTGAGGGTTCTTTTGACCATTTGCACATTCATTCGGCTTAAAATCACCCTCTCCACAATATTGCACAATATCCACAGTATTGTTTTCCTCCACAGGGTGTCATTTAATTCCTCCAGAGGTCCCTCTACTTCCATTCCCGACCTCTATGTGGGCTGATCAGTATAACCATGAGGTCCTAGGCTAGGAGGAGGAGTTGGCCGTCCGACTGCGGTCTGGAGTGTGGGGCCTCCCTGCTGCTGCGGAGTCGGGGCGGTCTGCCTC